TAGATAGATAGATAGATAGATAGATAGATAGATAGATAGATAGATAGATAGATAGATAGATAGATAGATAGATAGATAGATAGATAGATAGATAGATAGATAGATAGATAGATAGATAGATAGATAGATAGATAGATAGATAGATAGATAGATAGATAGATAGATAGATAGATAGATAGATAGATAGATAGATAGATAGATAGATAGATAGATAGATAGATAGATAGATAGATAGATAGACAGACAGACAGACAGACAGACAGACAGACAGACAGACAGACAGACAGACAGACAGACAGACAGACAGACAGATAGATAGATAGAGCGGTGCCCATATCCAGCAGTCACTGTGCGAGAGGCGGGGGACACCTGGGCAGGTCTCCAGTCCATCACAAGGACACATAGAGACAAACGAAACAAAAAAACATTCACTGTCTAACTCACACCTAAAGACAATTTATACCAGTCAGACTAGTTTTTGGTCTGTGTGGAGATGGTCTGAGGGAGTGGTAGCGCAGAGGTTAGAGAAGGTGGGCCTGTGATCGGAAGACCGCCAGTAAAGCTCTGTTACCGACAACATCAAAAATGTGGGTGGGGTAGGTGAAGCACTCACGCCTGCCCCCACCCTCATTCGTCCCACTCTGGGCCCTTGAGCAAGGGGCCCTTAACCCCCATCTGCTCCCTAAAACAGGTCTCTCTTGAAATGAGTTCTCGTGGCTCAATGAGACTACCTGTATAAATAAAGGGTAAATGAAAAAACAAATCCCACACTATTATGTTCTAATGTTCTAATTGTACAGAAAAAAGACACATATGAAGTAATCAAAAAGAAGCAGAATACACAAATTTGGAAAAAGACTATATCACATGCACAAGGCGATAGGGAGTACTACATTCATGATTGAATGACAAAACCTATACAGTATATATATATATATATACAGATTCACAAGGCTATTTTACTGTACAGGAGGGGTTGAACAATTTACAATTTCACATTGTGATGGTGCACAGTGTTGAGGAGTGAATGTATGAATGTTTAAGTGATGCTCGCTCCTTGGCAGGAACCCAGACAAAGGTGTGGAGATCGCCTTCCTGGGAACACGGACCGGCCTGTCGAGAACCAAACAGTTTGTTCCCACTGATCAGCTCTCCAATCAGTGAGTGCTGCCACTCAGCATGTCTCTGATCAGCATTAAGCTGTGATTGTGCTTGATGAATCTAATCATTCCAGCCTCACGTCACTTTCGTCTGTGCCTCCCAGAGACCTCCTGACAGCTGAGGACAAGGAGGGGGTGTTTAACGCCGACCACTTTCCTCTGTGGTACAAGAGAGCAGCAGAGCAGGTCCCCGGCACGTTCGTCTACTCCATACCCTTCAGCACAGGTACCTGCAAACCCAGCACTGACCGTGGCTCTGTGAGAAGAGAATATGAAGCTTTTAGTACATCTAACGAGTTTAGCTGGATGTTCTGTGTCTTACATCACCCGTGTTCATTTTAGTTAGTTTTAACCACAATCCCTGCAGTAAAACAGCCTGAAGAGCTCAGGCTTCTTCTCATGTTAACACTGACTGCATTCTCATCAAAAACTGTAGTATTCAGTCGTAATAACCATTTCAGACATGATTAGAGTCATGTAGGTGGAGAAAAAGCTTTAACTAGACATCATTATTGTACATAAAACAACTTGAAATGCTGTTCTGTGTGCAGCTGCAGAGTAAAGGCTGCCATCTGGTGTGCAGAATAAGGAACCTGAACAAATGATTCACTTTTTTTATTTCTAGCTTCAGAAAACAAGAGTGTGGTTTTGGCCAGTACAGCGATTCAACTCCTTGATGATAGGAAGTCACCAATTGTTGCTGGTAAGCAGCTTCTATTTCCTGTTGGTGGTCTGGCTTTACTCATCATGTCAAAGCTCATGATTTGAACGTATGCTCTCAGCTGTTGGACTCCAGATGAAGCTGGAGTATTTTCAGAGGAAGTTCTGGACGGCCTGCAGACAGGTAGCCAACATCTGCTGCAAACTTCTGCACCATCTTTTAAAAGATAATGAGTTTCTCCAATATTGTGTGAAACTAAACTACTGTTGTTTTGTGCTCAGTGCACAGCTCTGGATGGAAAGTGTAGCATTAGCTGTGATGCAGAGGTAAAGAAACAAAACATTAGTCTGGCTTTTTACATTTTTTTTAAGTCTTTTTAAAATATTTTTTTAATTTCTCCTCTACAGGACATTAACTGTTACTTGATTGACAACAACGGCTTCATTCTTGTTACAGAAGAACAGTCTCAGGTAAAATATGTGTCGAAAACCATCACTTCATTCGGATTGCCCAAAGGCTCATCCTAACCTCGACTGCTTGATTTCATCTTTTATCAAGTTTTGAAAACTTCTAGGAAATTTATAAAGACTCAAAACTTTAGGAATAATTACAGGTGTTTATAATAGTTATGAAAATAGTTTGGAGAGTCATTCAACAAATTGTAACAGTTACAAAGGCACAACATGAAAGTGTAACCAGAATATATAAGTCCTGCATTACTGCAATATTTTACAATTCCACAAAACATGCATTGATTTCGTCCACAGCAAGTACGTTTTCACTATAAAAATCTTTTTCAGGATATTCTGTTCTATCACAACGACAAAATATCTCTCTAAAAATGTAACTCGACAAAGTTAACAGTTTCACATGATCTTTTTGTGTGTTGAAAGTTAAACTTTGAGCGAAGTAAGCTGTCAGTTTGAATCAAATCTGAGTGGGAAAAGTAAAAAAAAACTCACAAATCTACCTGCCTACACCTGCATTTGCTCCACCCTGGGCCCTTGAGCAGAGCCCTTAACCCCCACCATGTGCTCCCCCGGCCCAGGAGTCCTAAATGACAGATTTCAGCTCCATACAGAGGGCTGTGGTAGCTCAGTGGTCTGTGGTTGTGTTAGGATGGGCGTCAGATGTAAAAAACGATAAACAATTGCCAAGTCTACATGCAAATTGGTTAATTGTGGTGATCCTGTACATATACACACACACACACACACACACACACACACACACACACATATATATAT